TTTTGTAGTTACTTGATATTTTAAATAATATGGATTAGAGTTTGAACATTGACTTTATACCATTTTTTGTTGTCCTAAGTGAATGATAAATTTATCTTATTAAACATTGTAGTTATATGACTGTCTTTCATTGTAAGCTTCTTTAACTCATTATTGTTTATCCTTCACGATACTTTTCAGCTTACAAGGACAAAGAAAGGAGAGGAAAATGTTCCTCATTTATATGAACTTGAAGGGAATGAAACCTTAGGTTCTTATTTGCAAATTCAATCTTGCTCTGATAATGCCCCAGACGTTTCAAATTGTTCAATTCAATCGTATCGTGTGTTGTCTGATGGTGCCAAAAAAGAACTTATCTCAGGTATTTACTTTTTAATGATGAAAACTTGTCGAAGACAACATTTTTTATTGCAGTGTTTTTTTATGTTGAGCTTGCAAGTTATGTCATTTTTGTGTTTCCATTTCTATCCTTGATAATGCAATTATCTCTCTCAGGAGCTACCAAATCTATTTATGCACCCGAACCTTTTGATGTCGGACGCATATTGCAAATTGATATTATTTCAGAAAACCAGCATGTCACACTTGCAACCACTGGTCCAATAGATCCTGGTAGGGTTTCATTGAATCATCCACATTTGATTTAGATGAATATATATTTGTTTCTATCGAAACTACAGAGGTGCTGTCTTAAGAGTGTAAGAAACCGAGACCTGTTTCGTTGCAAAATCAAGTTGAGCTTAAATTGTGTTTATGCTCTTTATGCAGCTGCTGGTTTAGGAACCTATGTAGAGGCACTTGTGCGAAAACACGACACCGAATTCAATGTATGTTGTTACAACTCTTTTACTTTTCATTTTCACCTTTTTAGTACCATGTGAGCGAGCATCAATATCAATACTGAAAAGTGATTATTTTGTGACAATAATATTGTAGTTGAATTTACTATTTTGCAGGTAATCGATGTGTCTGCTTTGAAAAAGCTACCCTTTGATCGCCATCTTTCCTTTAAAATGTCCAAAAAATTGTCACTGAAGCTGATGGGTATCAACCTCATCTGATTGCTCCAGAACAGGGTTATAGAAGACTTATTGAAGGCTCTATCAACTATTTCAAAGGCCCAGCTGAAGCCTCTATAGATTCCGTAATCTTCTTGACTTTACTATATGTTACATTCTGTCGTTATTCCTCGGTCTCTTATATATGGTTGGTGGAATTACTGAATTTTAATTTGAAATACTTGATTATTTAGTCATCCTTCACACCTACTTGCTTTCTTTATTTTGAAAGAATGCTTTTATCTCCTTTCAACTTTCAAGTAGTTCATCTGTATGAACTTGGTCATGCAAGAGGTAACTTAAAAGGATTTCATGATCAAATAGAGTTAGTTTATAATAGTAAGTAAAAATAGGTTTTCATGATCACACAATTCCATCTATTAAGAATGCCTTGATATTTTTCTCTTTTCTGCCACATTGTCCCAGATATGGGTCATTTTTCAAACCGAATTTGAATTCCCCATAAGTCCTGCTGCCATTCATTTTGCTATATGTATCTCTTTTTTTATGATATGTCATTTCCTGAAGATGGAATTGTTACTTTGAAATTACATTTCTTCGTACGCTTTGCTTTATGTTCTTGCTGTTTTTTTATGCAAGTGAGAGTATGCTCTTTCCATTTTTAAATTATGTGTGATATCTTTTATTCTTCAGGTCCACTTTGTTTTAAAGGAACTTGTACAAAAGTCAGTTGCAGAAACCGAGGTAAGGAACATGAAGTTGATATAACTCTTTTCAACAGTTTGTAACTTTCAAATATAGACGTGCAAGTTGGATGAGACTGTTCTTATTTCACATTTAATTTCATCCTTGGAAGCTTTGATTATTAGTGTTTCTTTTATGCTGAGAAAAGATAGTGAATGTTCAAAAGCTAATGATGCTAGATATTCCAAATCTTGCAATGAATTACTGATGTTGGATGCTGATGAGGCCTATAATTTACTTTAGGATTTAATGGGAATTACTGATTTTTGGGGGCGAAGGTTGGAGGGGGACCCATGGAAACCTGAAACTAAGTTGGAACTCCAAATCTTGCAATGAATCTGATAAGAACAGAGCCACAGCAAAATAATATAAACAAAGTCTTTCCATTACCAACTAGGTAAACTTTTTCATTTTCTATGAAGTCTTTGCCCATGTTGTACCATAATACACAAGTTCAATTTTGCCCATGTTGTACCATAATACATGACGTGAAAATCCAATGTTTTAGGGTACTATTGTATATGCTGGAGCATGATAACATGCATAATGAGAATATACAATTGCTTTGAGCATGATATTGAATATTGCTGAGCTGGAAGCACTTTCTAATTATTTGTCTGTCTTGCATCCTGTTTTAGAGCCTCATTCCAATAGAAGAAGTATAACATCACTTGATTAACATGTAAGTTCATCTGATTCTGTAAATGACAAATAGCTTCTAGCTCACTTCAATGGTAGTAATTGGCATTTGTTGTTTTTGGCACAAAAAATAGTTTAACTACACTCATGATGTAGAATTAGTTGAGTTGTTGAACTACACTCTTGCTCAAGATTAAAAAGTTGCAAATCTACTAATTCTTAGTAGAAGATATCTCCATCTCTCTCTTGGATTCACATGGCTGAAACGAGAGCAAGCACACTTATGACTCTCATATATTATGGATACATTGCACTTATACACAAAATTCCTCACTCTTCAGTGTTTTATGTTTTAGAATACGATTTTACTGGTATGAAGAAAATATTATTTAGAGTACTCAAGAAAATAATTTATGTGTATAATGGTTAGTGAGTTGTGGTGAATTTTATGAGATTTTATTTTTCTGTAATAGATAACTTTGGCCGCTTCAATGCTTTCATTCAAAGGAAGTTCGTATTGGATGGCACCTGAGGTGAGTTTATTTTTTTGTCTTGAATCATGAAATTTCTTTAATGTAAGCAGATTCTCCCTTCTTCTTCTATCTCGCCATAACTATTGTATTCCAATGTCTTTCTTAGGTTGTAATGAACACAAATGGCTATAGCCTTCTAGTTGATATATGGAGCTTGAGATGCACACTTATTGAAATGGCAACGTCGAAGCCTCCGTGGAGTCAGTATGAAGGGGTAAGATATTGGATATTTTAGATCTAGCCCCTTAAATATATGATCCTGTTTGATGAGTATGAAAGACCAAAACTGTTTTTATATTGTATTGACAGGTAACTGCCATATTTAAAATTGGAAACAACAAAGATATGCCTGAAATTCCCGAGCATCTGTCAAATGATGCAAAGAATTTCATTATGTTATGTTTACAGCGGGACCCATTAGCTCGCCCAACAGCCCATAAATTATTAGAGCACCCCTTCATAAGAGATCAATCAGCAACAAGAGCTGCAACCAGAGATGTTTCCTCTTACATGTTTGATGAAAGCCGAACACCGGTAAAGTGTTTGACGATATTTGTTTTCTTTTAAAACTTGCATACTTACTAACCATGATATCATGGTTATATAAATAATCATTATAAAGTATTATGACGATAACATGTCAGGACGACAACTTTATAGTACTAGATTGACCCCTTTTTTTCCCCGCTGTCTTGAGGTTTGGTCAACTGAAGATGTTAGGAGTACATGATAACATGCATAATGAGAATATACAATTGCTTTGAGCATGATACCGAATACTGTTGAGCTGGATTGCACTTTCTAATTATTTGTCTGTTTTGCAGCCTGTTTTAGAGCCTCATTCCAATAGAAGAAGTATAACATCAGCCTGTTTTAGGGCATTATTGTATATGTTGGAGCTTCCGTGAATGAAAATGGGGAATACTAAGAGATCATCGTATTTTCTAGCATAGAAAATACTAGCTAATTGTTTTTATCTTTTCAAATAATACTAGGAAATTACTTGAAAGAGTATATATTTTTTAATTAATTTTTAATAGATTTTTATAGATTAAAGTTTTTGATCATATTTATTTAATCATGGATTCAATTGCATTAAAGGTGATGAATATGATGTTGATATGCAGATAAGGAAATTGAATTGAATCTATGATAGAAAAGCAGGGCATGACTTAATAGATCACTTGCAACATATTGTAAATAATGTGGTTCTCTCACCTTGCTTTTCTATCAACATATTGTAAATAATGTGAATCTATTACCTTATTTTCCAGCCTGCTAGGTTGGTATGGGTTGTAATAGTTAGTTCATGTTTTCTTTTTTTAAAGTTTGATAAGGATTGAAACATTTGATTGTTGAAACAAATGGATACTTTGTGGATACTTCATATTTTGATAATAATAACATGAATATCTTATATCTCTGTCTAAAAATACATTACATTGCTATATCTAAACATTCTGCAAGTTATTTGTTGATATTATACTCTAAATAATTTATTGTATAATCATATGTCATAATTTTTAACATGTATATATATATTATTTAAAATTTTTTCATTTAAATAAAATATCAATTTTCTAAATCTTAAAAAAATATATATATTTTTTTTCCTTTCTCCATCTTCTCATGAATCACTTTTTTATATGATTATCTAATATAATTAAATTTTTAGTATTATTATTCATTTTATAATAAAATAATTTATTTTAAATTTAAATATATATTTAAATATATTTTATACTAAATCAAATATATCAAATATCTTACTAGTACTAAAAAAAACATTTTTTTCTAAAAAAGTATTGATATCGCGAGAGAGGCATCCGAGCCGTCGAAATCACACAAAAAGCGAGAGATTAACACGTGTCACTCATAGAATCACCTATTTTTTGTGTTTCCCGAAACCCTCAAAACAAACGTAAACGTCTCTTTTCTACTCCTCTTAAACGATTCTAGATCTTTCTCCCCTCCACAACCACAACCATCTCACACAAACCCTCCATTTTATTTCCTTCAGTTCTCTCCTTCCGTTCTCGTCTGCATCTTCAAAAGGGTGAAGAAGATGGCCGATTGGGGTCCGGTGATAATTGCGGTGGTTCTGTTTGTTATTCTGTGTCCGGGTCTGCTGTTTCAAATACCGGGGAGAGGAAAAATAATCGAATTCGGGAACATGCAAACAAGTGGTGCTTCCATTCTGGTTCACGCCATCATTTACTTTGGACTCATCACTATTTTACTCATTGCTATTGGAGTTCACATCTACACTGGGTAAAGTATACTCATCGCACTGGATGGAAAGGGGATCTAGAATCTTGATGCATTTTCTTTTGCTTAATTTTCAAGATTGTGTTTATCTGTATTTTTTAGATATTCTATTCTGTTGTCAGTACTTTTCACGTGTGTGTATGTATGTGCTTTGGAAGATGAATTTGATCAGTGATACTGTTTTTGTACTTGAAAGTTGTTTTGATACTTTCTGTAAAGTCACACCATTTTCCTCCGGATAAAGAAGCAAAGGATAAGGATGATTTTGTTTTATGTTGTGAAGATATGATTCGTGATTTTCTTTTGCTATGTGACGAGGATTTTACTTAAATGCATTCATCACTTTTCCTAACTTTTTTCACTATGGAGACTCAATTGAAAATTGTAGAAAGCATAAACGAAAAGGCAAGCAACCCTTTACCTTTTTTAGAATGACTATTTTTTCAGTGGTCACATTTTCAAATACGGAAAATATTATAATTAAATATATGTTAGAAAATAAATGTTAAATTAATTAATTTTTTTTATTTAAATTTAACTACACTTATGTTAAATAAAACTAGTTAGATAAAAATAGTCAACTATCTAATTAAGAGCATTACATGCATACACTTTCTCAAGATTACCCTTACAAAAATTAATCACACTTAAAGAAAAAACCTTAATTGTAATTCACTATAATACTTTGGTTCTTGATCAATAATAATATCTGATAAAATTGTCAAGTGGCTCGTATTTAGATGCCACTTTTCCATTTTAAAAAAATATTTGGCTCCTACTATTACCCGGTTAAAGACGTCCTATTGCTTACCCACCTTTTAGATGCTGCATAATCTTTTTCAGACTATCTTTCTCTTTCTTTATACTCATTTTTTCTCTTTGACAAAGCATCGTATATATCAAACATGAAAATAAATCAGTCATAAATAGAATAAAACAACAAACAAAATTATTAATCAATTTAAATATAAAATTTTAATAAAATTAACTAATAATTTAATTAATCAAATTAAATATAAATATTTAAATTAATTAATAATTATTATATATACTTTTACATTTTTAGTATATTAAAACAACTTTTTATATTTAATAAATAATTAATAAAAATAATTAAAATATTTTTAGTCTTCTATTTCTTTTTAAATATTGTATAAAGATTAAAAAGTAATTAAAACAAAAATTTTCTTATATTTTAACATATTACACAAATAACTAATAAAAATAAATAATAAATAATTAAATAAAAATAGAATGATTAAAACACAAACTTTAAAAAAAAAACTATTTAAAATACATCTCGAATTAGCAATCAATCAAAATAAAGTATTCAAAGTATATGATAAAATATAATAAACAAAAAGAAAAATTGGAATAAAAAGAAAAGTTGGAATGAAAAATACAGAGAAGACAATGTTACTACATACAATATGAACATTATATAGTTAAAATAAACATCACCACATAAAAAAATGTTACTGTAATAGAACCTGTGAACATGATAGAATTAAAATAAACACCACCACATGAAAACATCATTATAATAAAATCTGAAAAATGATATAGTAACAAATAAGAAAATACAAAATACATATATAAAATTTACAAAAACTATATATAAAACTCACACATACTGTTCTGGCCTGGTCCCCGGCTTGGCCAGGCAGACCCAGCCCAACAATATCCTGCCAAGCCCAGTCCACCTTGGGCCGCAGCCTTCGAGCACAAGGTCCCCGACGGACAGGTAATGTCCCTCCGCAGGCAGAACCTGCCTATCTGTGTCGAGCACAAGACTCTCCCATCAACCAGACACTGCCCTCTCCGCGGGCAGGACCTGCCCCTCTGTAATGCCCCAAATTCTGAATTCCCATTATTTTTATTGAGTCCTTTTTAATTTATTTGGATAATTGACATTTTAATTGTGGAATTTATGTGTTGATATGTTTAGTTTCAATATTGTGCTATTTTACCGATTTTGAGAGTTTTCGAGGAAAATAGGGTAAAGGGTATTTTAGACATTTAGTATTAAGTGTTAAGTGAATTATTGTGTGAGAAGTAATTGTTAAGTGTTTGGAAAGAAATGGAGAGGAAAGAAAATAGAAATATGAGATAAGAGAGAAAAGGAGATAGAAAGAAACATTAGTGGAAAAACAAGAGAGAGAAAGATGAGAGAAGAGAAAGAGGAGAAAGAAGAGGAAAACCTAGGATTTCATCAAGGATCAACATCCAAGCTTTCAATCGATCGGGTAAGGGTGTGAAACTCTATTATACTGTTAATGTGTATGATTATGTATGCTTTTAATTGTTTGAGGTTGGATTGAGAAGAGTTTCGACTCATTTTCTTCTTAAGGCAATATTAGGATTTAATCGGTAGAATGTGGTTTTAACCGGTTAGAATCGAGAAATGGATGGAGTAGGATAGCCGGGTGTTATTGGGTTGAACTTACTGGGGTAGTTTGGTGTTAGAATCGGTCGGTTTGTGAAGTTTGGGCTTTTGGATAGCCATGGGAGTTCTGAGTTCGCAGGTTCGCCAGGCAAACGGCAGCGAAGCTTCGCCAGGCGAAGCCCAGCGAGCAGCAGCGAACCAAGTCAGAAGCATCCACCCTGTCTTCGCTGGCAAGTTCGCCAGGCGAATGAGAATAGCGAAGGTTCACCAGGCGAGTGTGCTAGCGAGTAATTCCAGAATAACTCCCAGTGGTCTTCGCTGGCAAGTTCGCCAGGCGAACTAAGTAGCGAAGGTTCGCCAGACGAAGGTTGGCGAATGCGTCAACATTTTCCTGTTTTCTGTGTTTTTCCTTTCCATGCGGATTTCTTTGTTCGGTTATGTTTAATCCTTATCGAATCGAATAGTTTTGTGTGTCGTGTGGTACGTTATGCTGTGGGTAGCCGCAAGGCGTGAATCCTAGAATGTGGAATTTTGATTGTGAACGTATATGCCTTATATGGAATGGTATGTGTTGAAATGAAGAGTGTATATATATATATATATATATATATATATATATATATATATATATATATATATATATATATATATATATATATATATATATATATATATATATATATATATATATATATATATATATATATATATATATATATATATATATATATATATATATATATATATATATATATATATATATTGAAGTATAAGCATATTGTGGATGTACATGGATTGTATGTGCCTGTATGAGATGAATATGCATAGTGATATATTTGCGAATATGTATGCATGTAGAGAAATGTTGTGAGTCATTTTGCATAAAAGGCATCATGATGTACATCCTAGCGATGTTGATTCCTTGGAGAATCTGTTGTAGTATTTGATTCCTCGGAGAATCTGCTGAGTATTTGATTCCTCGGAGAATCTGCTGAATATTCGATTCCTTGGAGAATCTGATGAATATTTGATTCCTTAGAGAATCTGCTAAATACTTGATTCCTTGGAGAATCTGCTGAATACTTGATTCCTTGGAGAATCTGCTGAATTGAGTCGGTACCGCATTTGCATCTGCATAGAGTCGTGAGTCGGTCTCTTTGAGCTGCATTGGTCATCTTTATATGATGCATGGAGTGAATTGAACATAATTCTAGATGTTTATGTGGAAAATGATGAGTATGTATAGACACATGATTTGATGAATATGCTTGATTGTGTGAATATGCATTGTGATGAGATGTGGTGAGAATTTGAATTGTGTAAATCTCATGTATGTATATAGATATATAATTATATGTATTGACTGTTATGATATTGTTTCTCACCCTTCTGCTGTTTTATGATGCTCTATGAGGCATTGTAGAGTAGGATTGTTGGAGGTCCTTTTTGTGAAGCAGGTCTTCGTTATTTTTGGTCGATGGCTCTGATATGTAACATTTGGGTAGTTAGGAAGCCTTTGACTCTTTTTGGAGATACATTTATTTTGATTTCTTTTGTGATACATTTGCGTATATATTTGATGATGGATGTTTGTACATATGAATTAACTGAATGATGTATATATGTTTATATGAATGTATTGATTCAATGTTTAGATGTTTTCCGCTTTATTCTAAATATTGAGATGTGGGTTTTAGAACTATGTTCTTCAATTGTGAATTGCCCATTGTTGCATATCTATTTGAGCAGATGTTGTAGGTGTTTAACTTCATGATAATATGATACACCTCTTTTATATCATGTATTAATTAAACTCTGATGAACTTTTTACCAAGTGCCTAAATGATTTAATTGTGTTATTTGGGGGTATAGAAAGGGGGTGTTACACCCTCCGCGGGCAGAGCCCGCTACCCTCCGCAGGCAGGACCTTCTCCCTTCGCGGGCAGAACAATGTGTCCTTCACACGTTCTCCACGTGCTCCCCTCCACGGGGATACGTCACCGACCAACTGCCCACCTCCGGAAGAGCAGGTCAAACCCACTTTCCGGAGATCACAGGACAGTTGGACTAGGGCGAAGACCACATCCTGGTCTTCACTACGCCACGTAAGCCCTAGCAGTCTCCTGCGTTGGGCCTAGCAACCCAGCCAAACACAAGTGACCGTTGGCCCAGCGCTGGGGTCTCTCTATAAATACTCTCTTTCACAAGAGGGTCAGGTAATTCTCTTATTACCCCTTTTTGCATTTGCTCTCACTCTGCCCAATTCCTTACTTTGGCATCATAGTGTCTTGCAAGTACACCCCATCCTCCTCTTCAACACCGGTGAACAGGCATCAAGTCAAAGACACGTGGCAGTCAATGATCCTTTTCTGATCAGGTCAGATCAGTGGCGCCGTCTGTGGGAACCTAAAACTTCCCCGTTCATCCGAGCAGAGAACCAAAGTTTTCACCAACATCCCGCGATCATGGCTAGCCCACACCACGACGATGTCGTATGTGACTTCATCCTCGCCCCGACCGCGAATGGCGGCAAACAAACGGAGACGTCCCAACCTCCGGAGACCAACGAGAAGGACGACCAAATTGCCTCTCCCTCATCCTTGGAAGCTACAGACCAGACT